TCTTCAAACCCTAAATCGTCAGTTCTCTCTGCTCGTCTTCTCTCTTTTACTCACATCTGAAAACTATACCTTTTTCTTTGGGTTTTCTCCACAAAAGAAGTAAACTTTATCAAAGTTTCCTTCTCCTTTATGATTAAGGAGTAGCTAGGAATTTGTATAGATATAATTTTGTGGCTATGGGTATGTCTTTAGCCCTAGCTCTGTTTTCGTCTTTACGATGGAAGAAGAAGAGGTCTCCAAAGTCGACAAGAAGAGTAAGAGGAATAAAAAGACTACGAAGAGGAGACGATTTGGTAGCTCCAGAGATTCCTTTCGAGCTCCAGATCGTGATCCTGACTAGATTGTCTTGTAAATCTCTAATGAGGTTCAAGTGTGTCTCAAAGCTCTGGTTTTCTCTTATACGTTCTCGATAGTTTAGCAACCTTCATCGTACGGTCACACCACCAACCCGATCACCTTGTCTATACATGAGTTTGGTGGAGCACTTCGACTGTGATTCAATGGAGGTCTGTCACAACCCCGGAAAGTCGGTGTTGATATCATTATCATCATCGTCTAGTAATGGTTCTTTGTCTTTCGATCCAGATTTGACCATGCCAGGTATAGGAGGACACGACATGTTTGCTCTCCGCGGCTTGATTCTATACAAGGTTTGCAGAAAGGCGTGTATCTATAATCCCACCACCAGACAAAGCTTAACTTTACCCGCCGTTGAATCCAACATCTTTGCTCGAGAAGAACCTGGTAAGTATGTCAACTACTTTCTCGGACACGATCCTGTTCTTGATCAATACAAAGTAGTTTGCATTGTTGTGATATGCTCAGAAGATTTCGAGTTGTTCACATCGGAGCATTGGGTATTCGTACTATAGATTTTTGACGTTAGGGCCTAAACAGGCCGGTCTTAAACAGGCCGGTCTTAAACGGGCCGGATTAGCCCGTTTTAACATCACTAAATATGACCCAAGGACCTGATGATGTGGTGCTTGCATACCGTGAGCCTGTGGGGTTCATAGGGTATGGTGGAAGACCAGCTATTCTTGATCATACCAATCTTTTACAAAAGGGTATGAAGACCAGCTATTGTCCACACGATG